CGAACACAACTGTGTTTAAATTATAATTAGGTCAAGAGGTTAATAGACCTTTTTTAAATGGATTTCTAATGATTTCAACCCACCATTGAGCACTGTTAAAACGCAACAAATTAAACATCAGATAAAAAGAGCACCATTGATGTCTGAGCTGGACTGATCAATTTTTTGAAGGCTTAATATTTCTCAAATATACTGAATACACAGAAAACAAAAAAAGGCTTAATTTAATCAAATGTTTTGATGTCTAAATGGCCTCCAATTCTGGAATCATCAAAATAAAAAGTGAGTCAAGCTCCAGCAAGAGGACAATATTTAAATGTTATCAGATTCACCAGCTAGCTAGCAGTTAGCATTAATTAGCATTGCTAGTGTAACCCTTTATGTAGCCTTACCCTGCTGGTAGGCGATCTGTAATGCTAATGATGGCACAGTATTGAGTAAATGTACTTTACTTCCCACCTCTGCTATAATATATATATTGATATATATATACTACTATATTATAACACAACCAAGTCTCAACTATGTCTTATACCCCACAATATATCATAATTTACAATATTTACGTAAACTTGTCTAAATACTCTTCCATAATTTGGATTTTTATTCTATATTTATCTTATTTTATTTTACTTCACCTGCGTTTTTCTCCGTCCGGTTGCAATAACTGGATTTCCTCCTCGTGGATCTAATGAAGGTGCATCTTGATGTTATCCAACGTAAAGGTTACAAATAAATAAATACACAACAATAAGAAATGATTAATAAAAACAGGGTTTATTTAATTCACCTGACAGATAATTACAAAACAAAACCATCAAACTTCTGTTTTCCCTTCTGTCTGAACTTTAAATGTGCTTTGCAGAATGAAATGACTGCTAACAGAGATCTTATTATTATAACTTATTTTCTCTTAGCTTACAATATAACATGTTGTTCTTTCTTATTGGACAAAACAGAAACACACATTTTAAAAGGTCCTCTATTATGCAAAATCCACTTCTTCATGTCTCTTCTACATCAACATGTGTCCCCTCTTCTTCATGTCTCTTCTACATCAACATGTGTCCCCTCTTCTGCATGTCTCTTCTACATCAACATGTGTCCCCTCTTCTTCATGTCTCTTCTACATCAACATGTGTCCCCTCTGTGTAAAGAGATTCTAACAATGTTTTGTCTTGTGTAACCATTAGCCAATCACCAACCAAGGTAACCCCCCCCCCCCCCACCTTATCACCTGAATCTCCTCCTAGAGCACCATTGTTTTCTTTTTAACCAAATCTCTCTCAGAGGGGCGTGGGGAGGGGCTCCTTATTTTCATCTAAAGTAACAGACAGAGAATCAGCACTTTTGAAACAGGGCTGAAACAGAGGGGATTATGGGATGCTGCAATGATCTGTTTGGTGTTTCAGCCAATCAGAGACAGGTTCTGTATATATCTGAGACCTGTAATATATTGATGAAAAGAGCATAATAGGGGACCTTTAAAGCGTAACCTTTGCAATATCAATTATTTTGTATTTCACTGTATGTCCACTGTAATATAGAGAGACTTGTTTAAAATGATTCAAAAGGAAAATATGATGTAGACCATAAAATGCACCTTATAGTTCACTGAATGATATTATTATTTTAAATTACATTAATCTTAATGATAGTTAAGTTGATGATTGCATTTGTCACCATTACTGCTACATGAAAATGCAGAAATCAAATTCTCCCACACATAAATGAAACCTGTATTCAAACCATTCATTTCCCTTTGTTGCTTTCCCTGCTTTCACTAAAGTGCAAAGAATTTGTGAAGAATTGGCAAAGATACAGAAAAAAACACCAAAATAATTTCACACTGCGCATGCAAACACTCATTCAGATTAAACATATTAGAGAACATCACCTCTTATTGGCTGAACAGGTCCTTACAATGTGTGATTCAGTCATTTGACTGATTTTAGGCTTTCAAAGTATATAAATGGTTGTTAACGATTATAGGCAACATGAGACAGTTTTAAATTCATTTTAGGCCAATTAATACGGTGTTTGATGCAAACGTGCTACAACCGCCCAGAAACATTTCCATTAGGAGAAACCCGCTGCAGCTTGCAAACACTGCAAATATAAAAACACAAATGTTCCAAAACACAGGGGACACTAAAAAGTGACACACACAGCTGGGAGACCAGGGGACACTAAAAGGTGAGGCACACAGCTGGGAGACCAGGGGGTGGCACTAAAAGGTGACACACACAGCTGGGAGACGACACTAAAAAGTGACACACACAGCTGGGAGACCAGGGGACACTAAAAGGTGACGCACACAGCTGGGAGACCAGGGGACACTAAAGAGTGACGCACACAGCTGGGAGACCAGGGGACACTAAAAGGTGACACACACAGCTGGGAGACCAGGGGACACTGAAAAGGTGACGCACACAGCTGGGAGACCAGGGGACACTAAAAAGTGACGCACACAGCTGGGAGACCAGGGGACACTAAAGAGTGACGCACACAGCTGGGAGACCAGGGGACACTAAAGGGTGACGCACACAGCTGGGACAGAGCGCTTGGTGACGTTCAGGATGATAAAGCTGAACAACTGTCTCTGTCTCAGAGTGAGTCTGTCTCATAACTGTAAGAGTTTGTCAGGATATCTGAAATGACTAGGTTAGCTACGTTAGCTAGCTAGCTTACAGCAGATCTGCAGTAACAACAGAAGGAGTCATGTGATCACATTGTTAAAATAAGACCATAAAACCTTTTAGGTAAGTTTCCAACAACAGAGACAGTTGTCACTCTTTAGTGTCCCCTGGTCTCCCATCTGTGTGCGTCACTCTTTAGTGTCCCCTGGTCTCCCAGCTGTGTGCGTCACTCTTTAGTGTCCCCTGGTCTCCCATCTGTGTGCGTCACTCTTTAGTGTCCCCTGGTCTCCCAGCTGTGTGCGTCACTCTTTAGTGTCCCCTGGTCTCCCAGCTGTGTGCGTCACTCTTTAGTGTCCCCTGGTCTTCCAGCTGTGTGCGTCACTCTTTAGTGTCCCCTGGTCTCCGTTGTGTTTTGAGCGTTTCGTTTATGCAGCTTTTAGTAAACACAGCTCAAGTTGGTGATCATGTTTCTTCATTTCTTTGCATATGTTTTGGCACATTTGTGTTTTTATATTTGCATCGTTTCTGAAACTGCAGAGCGTTCCTCCTGATGGAAATGTTTTGGGCCGTAGTAGCACGTTCACTCCCGTCGGCCACCGTACTTTAAGCTTCTATTGTGACAATAAACTTGATCTAACTTGAGATTAAAAATGCAGCAGAAGCACCGGTTAAAACAGAGAAATGGGAGGAAACACCACACACTCTCAGAGTATTAAAGCACATTAAAGTGTGAACACAAAACACACGCACACACACACACACGCACACACACACACACACACACACACACACACACACACACATATACAGTATGAAAGTAACATTATAAAAACTGATTAGTTTACAGTTGTGGCTTCGTGGGCAATAGTCAAGTTTCTGTCAGAAATCATTCCCTCTGGACCCCCGACGGTGTGGCACATTTATTTTGATGCTGCTCAATAAAAATATGAAAGCCGAACGAGAGGAAATTAATGCAGATTTTTTGTGATTTTCAATAAGAAATATAAAAATGGTGATTGTCCCCAAACATGGCTGCAGAGTCATGGATGGAAAATTCATTTTTGGTGTTAATTAGACGACGAATTCTGATTAATAAAGGGTTGTTTTTCAGTCTACAGCATCCTATTTAGGTTTTACAAGCTGCCAATGTAGCACAACTACCACGGGAATATAAAATAAATGAGAATTTTTCAAATCATCCATGGTGGTTATTCAAATATCAGCGTAAAGTGACAATTATGCGACTAAAATCAATGTGACTCAATGCACTGCCACTTTGATCATTCAGAGGGATTTTCCTATAAAACCACTTGTATAAAAGTTCAAATATTATTAAATATGAAATGTTATTATCATCACTCTATATGATAAAAGGACCATGCAGTTTGACTTCACAGGAGTTGTGTACACATATCTTAAAATACGATAGAAACTTGTTATTAGAACTCTTTTATGTGTAATTTCTCTTCATTTTTCTTAAAAAGTTCAGGTAACACTTTAGATTAAGGTACACATATTCACCATCAACTAGTTGTTCATTTACACATTAGAGTCAAACTACTAGCTTATTGGTTATGAACAAGACTTCACTTTAAAATAGGGAACTTATTCTGAGTTAGAAAAACCTCATTTTTAGTTATTTTGACACAATTAACACTTGTAGTTTCATGTGTTGTTACATAAGAATAGACCATATTTGTTAGGTGTTATTATGAGAGTTATTAGGCCCATATTGAGCATATTAAGACCCTAACTCATGCACAACAACGTCCTTACTTACAATAAATAAGCACTAATTAGAGGGTTATTGAGGACAAACTCTTAACCAATGGCCTGTAGAATATGGTCATGTAGAATAAGGCATTAATACGTGTTTTATAATGACTAATACAGAGCCAATATACTGCTAATATGCATGTTAATTAACAACTAGATCAGGGGTGCCCAACCAGTCGATCGCGAGATGTGTCTAAAAATAGAACAACAATATTCTGTTTTATCGTTAATGTCCTATAACATAATCTTCCTGTGCCAGAATAATGCACTTGAACGCACCAAAGCTTTGTGATTGGCGTGACCCCATGTGTCGGGGCGTGGCTAGTGGGCAGTGGGCTCTTGTTCACTGACGTTGTCCGTGGCAACACGAGTGACAGTCCGCACACACACACAACCGCAATTATGGCAGAAGCAAAGAAGCCCAAAATATATCATTTTCACTCCGAGTGGGAGGACGGTTATTTTTTTGTTTATTCCAATTCAAATTCCATCGGTCTCATCTGCAATGCGAGCGTGGCGTGACGGCCGTTTATGTTTTTAAATGGCATCATTTTCGCTAGCACCCCCCCCCCCCTCTCTCTATTTGGACTGGTAGGTCTCGGCAGACTGGCAACTTTAAAAGTAGCTCTTGGTTCAAAAAAGGTTGGGCACCCCTGAACTAGATGATGGCGAATATGTGTACCTTAAAATAAAGTGTTACCAAAGTTCATATGTTTCCACTTGGCTTGTATTCTCCTCACAGTCCTTCCCTGCGTTTCTGTGTGAAATATCTCCAGAAGGACGTTGCTACTGGACCTGGAAGACGTTGATTTTGCTCGTGTTCTTCAGCGTTTGTCTCCTGTTGCAGAACCAAACTCTCACCACCTCTCGATCGTAGTTCAGCTCTCGAGCCATTTCCGTGATCTCTTGTCCCGTCGGCAGCGCGTTCTTGTCAAAGTATGAGTTCAGGACTTCGATGGCCTGCGGCGTGAAGCTCGTGCGTCGCTTTCGTTTTTTGGACGGTTCTCCGCCGACGAACTCCATGAGGTTCTGCTGTCCCTTCTGGTTCCAGTGCTCCGCCTCGGCCAGCCACTTCTCCAGAACCGGCTTCAGCTTCTGGGCGCTCTTAGGGGTGATGTCCAGCTTTTCAAACCTGCGGAGCCAAAGATATTCAGCAGGATATATATTACTGTAATTACATCAGCTTTAATCTAACAATACATCTCTTTAGTGAGGGTATGTTAATGGTATAGCCAGATTTTAAGAGACATAACAAGCTGTCGAGACATAGTTTTTTAAAAGTTAAATTATATAACATAAACCATAAAAGAGAAAGAAAGTTGATGTCATTTCGTTTATCATTTTATTTGAGTGTTGCCTCTTCTGTCTGGGTTTGTTTGACTAATGTAAAGGCCTTTATTCTCTTGTGAATGTGTGATGGAAGAATTATTTTTGAACGTGTGATTAACACAAGTTTCATGAACATCAGGCCAGATTCAACATTTTGTATTCAGGATTTGATGTCTGATGTGAAAACTGTGATTCAGACGTAAGCTGAAACAGCTGTTAGTAAAACGAATAAATAAAAAGATAACGCGTGAGAAATGTCTGTTCTATTTCATCCTTAATGACCGCCAGAGGCGGTGCTTTAGCACTGGATATCTTCTGTCTCGCGCATGCGTAGGTCGAATATTTATATCAACAAAGTCACGTGTGACCTCGTATGACCCCGGAAGGCATAATTTCCGGTGTTGTCAACGAGTTCAGTTCTTTTTCATCTTCTCGCTGCGCAGGTTACTACTTTTTGAGTAGAAGCCAAGCTAGCTTATTGAAAATTCGATTCTAGCTCATCGCTACCTGTAGCCTTGCGATCGTCTCGATCGGAGCTGCGGGCTATAAAAACGCTCGCCCTCCAAAGGCTGCGACGAGCTGTCCGCCCTCCCAAGGACCCAGGAGCTCCGGACCGGTAAAGAGCGGACGCTCTTGCACGTCAGCCGGTGAGATCGCTACCATTTATCGCTGATTGTGCTATCTATTCTCAAGCTAATGAGATAATTGTGTACAAGTTAGCCGAGGGCTCTCGCTAATTGTTACTGCGCTAGTGAAGGGAGCGTCTCCGCCCCCCTTTCACTGCATACATTTGGTTCCTTGCCTGTCCTATCGTTCAGTTAGCTGAGTGTTTTCGTTCAAGCTAACTGTTACTGCGCCAGTGAAGGGAGCGTCTCCGCCCCCCTCTCACAGCTCACAATTAGTTCCTGTTCTATCCTCCAGTTAGCTGAGTGCTCTCGCTCAAAGCTAACTTGCTACAGTGCTAGTGAGGAGAGTGTCTTCGCTCCCCTCTCACGGCGCACAATTGGTTATTTTATTTAATCGTTTATTTGACAGGGACAATGCACTGTAATGAACACTTAAAACATTTAAATGTGTCAAGCGTAACAGTGCCAGATTTAGCTTTGAGCTATTTTCCATTCCCTCACATAAAACATTTAAGGAAATTACTTTTTACAAACATGGTAAAGAACAAAATACATGATATGCAAAGAGTGGCAACGACATATAAAGTGCATCCATCCTCCAGTTAACTGAGTGCTCTCGCTCAAAGTTAACTTGCTACAGCGCTAGTGAAGAGAGTGTTTCCGCTCCCCTCTCCCTGCACACAGTTGGTTTAATGCCCGTTCCATCCTTCAGTTAGCAGAGTGTTCTCGCTCAGGCTAACTCGCTACGGCGCTAGTGGAGAGAGTATTCCGCTCTCCTCTCACGGCATAAACCCATTAACTGACTTCATTTTTCTCACCCCAGTTAGCAGAGTGCTCACGCTCAAGCTAACTACTATTGTGCTCACTCCCCTCCACTGCATATTTGTTTCCTGGCCCAGTTATTTACAGTCAGCTGAGTGCTCTAGCTATCGCTAGGTCTAACGGCTCTAACACCTGTATGGCTCCTCTTTAACCAGAGGATGGCCATGACCTTTGCCCCTCGTCTTGGCCTCGAGCATCTGAGGGAGGGCCTTTCGGAGGACCCGTGCATGAATTGCACCATCATGCCTCGTGCGGTAAGAGCTGCTAGACTAGCCGAGGTTGAACTACTGACTGAGGGTGGCCTTCCCCCTGCACAGTCGACTCCAGCCCAACCTACCCATCCTAGGCGTTGGGCCACAGAGGCTGCGGGTGCACCGCCCAAGAAGAGGACTAAGCCTGATAGGCTGTCCTCCAGGGTGGACCTACTCACTACTGAGCTAGCCCAGATGAAGTCACTCCTCTTGGCTCTCCATTCTGGTGCCCGTACAGAGCACGCCGCTGCACCCGATCCACCCGTGGCTGAGCTGGTTCTAGATGACGATGTGTTCTCGATGGCAGCTTCAGCCACTCAATTTAATGAGTATGACGGGGAGAGCCCATCCCATGCTTCTGGGCCTGGCTCCTGTACCTCAGCTCATGGTCCCTCGGAGGAGGCAGATGACGGCTCCATGGGTACCGTCATTCGCATGGCACTGACTCACCAGCAGCTGGATGCGCAGCAGCCCGAAACAGCGCCTGCCAGTGCGTTCTTTAGGCGCACTCCGGCACCCGCCACCCGCACTGTTCCTCCCTCTTGTGAGTATCTGAGGGAGTTACATGCATGCTGGAGGGACACTAAGGCTCTTTACAGTCTTACGTCCGATGGCCGAGCCTTGGTAGCCATGCAGGATGCAGCAAGAGTTGGCCTTGACCACACGCCGGCTGTTGAGCCTACCATTGCTTCCCTCATAGTTTCCCCTGACGAAGCTCTGAGGTCGGAGGCCAGGTGCCCTCGACTCCAATGTCGGGTCACTGATGACCTGCTCATTAAGGCTTACGATGCAGCGGCGCGCATGGGCCGTGTAGGCAATTCCCTCTCTCACCTCATGCTCGCCCTCTCAGCTTCCCTGCAGCAGGATGCTCTTAGCGCTTCCTCTACCAGCCTCAGTGACGCCTCATTACAGGCGTTCGCTCTGATGTCTAGAGAGCTTGGGCGCCTGATGTCCACTCTCGTCCAGACTCGTCGCCAGGTTTGGCTGGCACAGTCACCCCTGGGTGGTTTCCACCTTAACCCAAGGGTACAAGCTTCAGTTCCCACGCTGGCCCCCAGTCTACAGCCGGGTCAAAATGACCACCATAAGCGACCCGGCAAAATAAATCGCCCTAAACCAGGAGCTGTCAGTCCTCCTTGCCAAGGGTGCAATCGAGCCTGTGGACCCTATCTCACAGCCCGGGGGCTTCTACTCGACCTACTTCCTGGTAAGGAAGAAAGGCGGTGGACTTCGCCCAATCCTCGATCTGAGAGGACTCAACAAGTTCCTAAAGATTTTACCTTTCCATGTGCTGAGCATAGCGGACGTTCTTCGTACCGTGGCCAGGGGGCAATGGTTCACGTCCGTCGACTTGAAGGACGCTTATTGTCATGTGCCTATTGTGCCTCATCACAGGCAGTTTCTTCGCTTTGCCTTCAGAGGTCGTCATTTCCAGTTCAGGGTGCTCCCATTCGGACTCTCCCTCTCCTTAGACGACTGGTTAATCTGTGCACCATCCCGGTTACAGACGATCCAGGACACGGCTCTCCTTCTCTCTCATGTCGCCCGGCTAGGCCTCAGGGTGAACATGGAGAGGAGTTGTCTGAACCCCTCTCAGAGCCTAACCTTCATTGGGGTGGCTCTGGACACAGTCACTCAACCAGCGAAAGCAGTGTTCTCGCCCCCACTCCTGGTAGACGTGATGCTTTATTCTAGCAGCAGCCGACTGGATAAGCCATCCTGCTAAAACTTCTTTTTTTTTCCAGCTAGGTGAAGGCAGTGCTCTCGCTCCCGCTCCCTCTGCTGGTAACATGGGTGTAGTTACATCCCTTTTGTGTTCGGCGAGTAGGAGCGTTGCTCTACTCTTTCCGTTCAGCAGGTAGCTGGTGAAGGCTGTGTTCTCGCCTACACTGCATCTGGCATTCGTTATTAACTCAACCAGTGAGGGCGGTGTTCTCGCCCCCGCTCCTGGTAGACGCGCTGCTTAATTCTAGCAGGAGCCGCCTGGCTAGGCTGTCCTGTTAAACTTCCTTGTTTAACCCAGCTAGGTGCGGGCCTGTCCATCTGCTGCACAGACTCTGCTGTGGGACGCCTTGGCGTCTCCCCAACAGGAAGGACCTCTTGTCTTAGTTGGAGGGTCGGATGTGGCACCCCGACCCCTGCCACCTCCAGCTGTGGGTCTGGCCACTGGAGGGCCCGACCCACTGCTGAGCGACTGCATAGAGTCTGTCAGGAAGACTATTCTCAAATGCTAGGGCACCATCTACTCGTAGGCAGTACGAAAACAGGTGGAAACTGTTTTTTTTTACTGGTGCCAAGGGCGAAATGAGGACCCAGTACATTGCTCGGTACCTACGACCCTTGAGTTCCTGCAGTCCCTCCTGGACGACGGCCGGTGTCCCGCTACCGTCAGGGTGTATGTGGCTGCTATATCAGCTCAACACGCAAGGGCTGACAACAGCACAGTGGGGAGCCATAGGCTGGTATAGGGATGGGTACCGAGCCCCGGTATTAAACGGGCCCCGGGGCTGAATTATTAAAGACCGTGGTACCGTTAAGCTCCGACGTTATCGGTCTTTTTAACGGTACTGGAGACATGTAAAAAAGATGTCATGTGTATTATTGCTACATAAACATTATATTGCTGTTTTAGTTTCGCCAACTCCGTTTCTAAGATGCAAAAAGACTGCAAAATGCAGTAGTATTTTCGATCTCTCCAAACCAGACGAGAGATCTCTCTCCTGTCTGTGTGCGAGGGGGCGGGGCAGTTTACACACACGCAGCTGCTACATGCAGCAACACACACACGGAGGAGATGGCGGAGAGAACTAAGCACTAAAAGGTGTGGTTAAACTTAACCCGTCTCGATGTGGACAATGCTCGTTACCAAAAGTGCAATAAGAGTTTAGCATGTAAGGGCGGTAACACGAGCAATTTGTCTAAACATTTAGCAAAAGTGCTCCACATCCAGACGGAGAAATGCACCGGGTTCGACTGTCTTTCTAGTAGCTCTGTAGCCCCATCCACGAGTAACGTTTCCACGTCAGGTGTTACAGTATGTATGCTAGCAGCAACACACGGAGTTAACTCAATTATACAAACATGGGCTAATGATTAGAGGTACATTTATTTTGTTAAAGTTTCAGCCATTCTGTTTACAGTTCTGTCATCACATTATTTAATACCATTTGTTAAAACATTGTTGTTTCTTTTGATGTGAAATATTATGTATTTAATTTAAATAAAAAGCAATGTTAGTTTTGTTCACAATTTGTTTATTTTCATTTTTCATTTATTCGTTTATTTGAATAAGGACAATGCACATTAATGAACACAAATAATACTTCAAGTGTAAATATGCCGGATTTTAGCTTTGAGCTAATTTCCATCCGTAGTCCCTGACATACAACATATAGTTAGTTTACCTCATTTTTTCTCCAAAAGAACCGATAAAAGTACCGATAAAAGTACCGTTAAAAGACCGGACCGATAAGCGGTATCGATAAAAGTAGTAGTACCGTTAAAACCTTAACGATACCCATCCCATAGGCTGGTATCCCTCTTTTTAAGGGGGAGCTCTGAGGCTTCGCCCCCCGAATATCCCAAGGGCCCCTACATGGGACCTGCCCTTGGTGCTGGATGCCCTATGCTCGCCTTCTGTTGAACCTTTGTTACAGGAAGAACTGAAGTGGCTCTCAGCTAAGACTGCTTTCCCTCTTGCCATCACCTCAGCAAAGCGTGTAAGCGAGCTTCAGGCCTTGTCCGTGAACAGCTCGTGTCTGAGGTGGAACTCAGATGGCTCAGGTGTCACCTTATGGCCGAACACAGCGTTCCTCCCTAAGGTGCTGGCACGCTCTCATTTTAATCGGCCTATCCAGCTGGCACGGTTTGACCCCCCATCAGGAGAGGGGGAAGAGAGGTCAAGACTCCTATGCCCGGTGCGGGCCCTTAGAGCTTATGTCCAGACTACCGCAGGCATGCGTCAGTCTGAACAGCTCTTTGTGTGTTACGGTGGTCCTAGAAGGGGCTGTGCGCTCTCAAAACAGCGCTTGTCCCACTGGATCGTGGACGTCATTGCCCAGGCATACAAGGCGAATGACCGTCCCTTGCCACCCAGAGTAAAGTGCCACTCTACCAGGAGTGTCTCCACGTCATGGGCGACCTTGAGAGGTGTGCCCCTGGAGGACATATGGGCTGCGGCCACATGGGCATCTCCGAGCACATTCGCCAGATACTACAGGGTGAATGTTGCCGCCCCTCACCCGCTGGGTGTGGTCCTCCTGCAGAGTCCGCCTAGGCCATCCTTATAGGGGGAGTATTCAGACTTCCTCGTGACTCTGTTGGTATAGGTCATCCAGTGCTAAAGCACCGCCTCTGGCGGTCAGTAAGGATGAAATAGAACGATAGTTACGTATGTAACTACGGTTCTATGAATACTGGATGACCGCCAGAGTTTCTTGGTCACTCGGAATCTCGTGTTTCCGCGAGAAGATTCCATAGGACTGAACTCGTTGACAACACCGGAACTTATGCCTTCCGGGGTCATACGAGGTCACACGTGACTTTGTTGATATAAATATTGGACCTACGCATGCGCGAGACAGAAGATATCCAGTGCTAAAGCACCGCCTCTGGCGGTCATCCAGTATTCATAGAACCGTAGTTACATACGTAACTATCGTTTTAATGGACGGAAACAACTTCCATTATAAAGAGAGAATAGTTGCTGTTTCTTTACCCTACATTACTGAGGGAATCAGGGCTTCATGTTGGGTTCAGTGAAGTACCTGCAGATGGCGGACTGGCTGTACGCCGGGCCCTCGGTGGCGGTGAGCGCCTGGCCTACTTGCGTCTGCGTGAGACCGAGAGACAGCCGGCGGATCTTGAAGTTTTTGGCGAACTCTCGGATCTCGTCCAGATTTATCCCCTCCTCGCCGCTGATGACCTGTTGCGGCTCTACATTCAAAAGATTCAAAGGTTTTATTGTCATCTGCACAAAGCTACAGTGTAGAATCAGTGTGTGGATCAGTGAGTGGATCAGTGTGTGGATCAGTGTGTGGATCAGTGTGTGGATCAGTGAGTGGATCAGTGAGTGGATCAGTGAGTGGATCAGTGTGTGGATCAGTGAGTGGATCAGTGTGTGGATCAATGAGTGGATCAGTGAGTGGATCAGTGAGTGGATCAGTGAGTGGATCAGTGAGTGGATCAGTGAGTGGATCAGTGAGTGGATCAGTGAGTGGATCAGTGAGTGGATCAGTGAGTGGATCAGTGTGTGGATCAGTGAGTGGATCAGTGAGTGGATCAGTGTGTGGATCAGTGAGTGGATCAGTGTGTGGATCAGTGTGTGGATCAGTGTGTGGATGAGAGGGGGGGAACGTACTGCCGATGAGCTGGCCCACTTTAGCCATGTCTCCACAGCTGATGTTCACCGCGGGGGGCAGCGGGGGCTTCATGAGGGACGGCTGCGGGGCGATGACGATCGGGGACTGACTGACGGTCGTTACTGAAGCCTGGAGGAACAGAAACAGTTAGAAGAGACTCCCACTACACTCACATTAGACGCGGTATAGAGTGGTGCAGGAACGAGTCCTAAAACCCGGAAGTGCGTCAACATTTCCCCACTTCCTGTTCCCTCGAGTCAATGGGTTTTTAACTTAACTAGTTTTTGGAAAATATCTGGAAATAAGGTCTGTGGTTGAGACGAATTGAAGAGACGGATCACGTTTTGTTCTACGACATTAAATCCATCAGCAGTGACCCCACTGGTGATTTCTGAAGAGTTGACGTGTCTGAAAAACGATGGTTGTTACCAAGTGGCTGAATAGGACTACAGAAGTTGTCGAGGCCGTTGTACGTCATTACGCCGAACACGTAAACACTCCTCTAAGTTAGTTTGCCCTGTTCTGCTTGAAAGCAAGTACCTGCCTCCTGCAAACTGTTCAAACAAACGCTTCAACTCGTACCATTTAGAATCTGTATGTTTGAATATGGATCTAAAGTTGGCGTGACGTTGAAGTCGTGCTGCTGTACTCGGCTGTAGTGAAAAATTATAAAAGTAGGGTAGACATGTGGAGATTACCCGGCTGAACAAAACGTGCATTTATCAAACAGGTTCGTTTTCCACAGATCTTAATTTTTACAATATTCCAAAATCCTATGGAGAAATCCCGTTGCTTTTTTTGTCGAGGGAACCCATGCGGCCTACAAAAATAAGTCATCACTGCACCACTTTATAAGCTTTCAGTAGCTTTCGGTCTGTTTCAAAGCAGAAACCACTTTGTATTCCACCCAATCACAGACAGGCTGTACCTGTGAGATGGGTTTGGTGAATGTTGGAGTAGCAGCGACTTTGGGCAGAACTGCAGCCGACGTCACAGCACATCCGTTTCCCAGCGTGGCGATGATCTGACCCTGAGAGTTCAGAACCAGCTGGGGGGTCACGGTCTGGACCTGGAGACCCTGGAGACCCTGAAGACCCTGGAGACCCTGGAGACCCTGGAAACCCTGGAGACCCTGGAGTCCTTGGATACCTTGAAGACCTTGAAGACCTTGAAGACATTGAAGACCTTGAAGACCTTGGAGTCAAAGTAAAAGTCAACTTTATTGTCAATCTTTTAGTTTGCGTGTACAGACAGAGAGATCGAAATACTGTTTCCCACAATCCCGATTACAACAATACAAATATGTATAAAATATGTATATACTATATATACACAATCAACAGACACATGTATACATATGCACACATTAAGATAAAAACACAACAATCAATATATACAAAATAACAGTCACTTCAATATCTTTGGGAATGTACATTAGTGCAAAATTGTCCATAGAAGTGTAAAAAGTGTCTGGTGCTGGATTTGAGTGTCCTTGGATACCTTGAAGACCTTGAAGACCTTGAAGACCTTGAAGACCTTGAAGACTCTGGAGCGTTTGTGCAGCCCCTCCACCCAGAGAAGCTGGGTTCAAAAACAGCGGCAGGGTTCCTATGACCTGTAGAAAATGTTTAAAGGTCACCTATTATGCAAAATAGCTGCTGGGACTCCCAGCAGCTTCTACTGAAGCCTTCCGAGTAAATCGCCAGAACGCCGACACCTCCTCATCACTCCACCGCTCCCATGTTTTATTTTGTGTTGCCATAAGTTAGTCTCTCTCCGTTGGTGCGCTGGGCTAATGCTAATGCTAATAATGCTAATGCCAGCAAATACAATGGCGGCTTCACAAAACTTTTCCGAGTTTTACGGGGCGTGGTTTGCAATTCGCCCAGCCAATCAGAAATTGGAACTTTTTTCTCCCCAGGATAGTCCCACCTCTCTAGCAGGGACTGAAAAGGGGGGAAAAGTTCTCATGAACTAAGTTCTCTTTTTGGTATGAACGCAAAATCCCAGGAACTATCGGAACTAAAAGGGAAAAGTACGGGGAAAAGTACTCCGGTGTGAAAGCGCCTATTGTGTTCTTTTTAACCAAATCTCTCTCAGAGGGGCGTGGGGAGGGGCTCCTTATTTTCATCTAAAGTAACAGACAGAGAATCAGCACTTTTGAAACAGGGCTGAAACAGAGGGGATTATGGGATGCTGCAATGATCTGTTTGGTGTTTCAGCCAATCAGAGACAGGCTCTGTATATATCTGAGACCTGTGATATATTGATGAGAAACAGTATAATAGGGGACCTTTAAGGGTAGCAAACTGCCTGCAAATTACACCTTTACCCTTTTTATTTTATCATGAAGTCTATTGTATCTTATTGAGGCTGCAGTCAAGTAGGAGAACGCCATGAAGTAAAGGAAAGATGACAAGGGGAATTCATGAGGAAGAAGAGACTCCCTCTACGCTCACATTAGACGAGGTATTATGCAACTGCTGCAAGGAAAAGTGGGCCAATGTAATGAAAGAGAACACGTGTCAATGAAAACGTCATGGCAGGTTATTCTCCTCCAAGTTATATCTTGCCTGGTCCAACACCAACTTCATGTTGAGATACATTTCATTACATTTAGCTGATGCTTTTGTCCAAACGGCTTATAATAAATGCAATAAACTGTGACGATACAAACTCAGTACAGCAAGAAAAATGCAGATATATTTGGTTCAAATACGACCAAACCATGGTGCATTGGCAGTGTAAGAAAACGTTTTTACAGAGTACTTGTCCATTGACAAGTGAGTTTGGCAATTTACTTGTCCGAATACATTTTTCACTTGTCCAGAAAAATCGATCGGCATCGTATTTTACATTTTCCCACGGTTTTTACGACACCGCTAACGTAAGTGAGCAGTAAGATTTTACTGCATCACACATAGGGTTGGGTATCTTTTGGATTTTAACGATTCCGGTTATGCTTTTCGATTCCGGTTCTTTTCGGTTCTCGATTCTGGTTCTTTGAGAGGGTAAAAATAAGTCCCATGACAAACTGGGAGAAAAATATATTTATGAAAACATTAAGTCAAATCTGTATTCCTATTTACAAATCACTTCATCCTGTTTAATTTTGTTACGGTTATTGAATCCCGTTATATAAAAATAATTGTTTAGTTAGTTCTAAGTGGTGCAGTTTGAGAAAGTACAACTGGCCCAGTCTCCTCTGATGTTACACTGCAACCTGCCTGTGAGACAGAGTCCAACCAAAGTCTGTGTGTCCAACACATGTCCTGCAATACACGTGCTGCAGCTGCCCAGCCACTCACTGTTTGTAAAAGTAAATAAATAGTATTTTCATTTCAATAATTTACTTTCTTTACCCTGCTTCATAAACAATACTGACATCCCGGTGCTCCTCCGAGTCTGGGGGTCCGGGGAAGTGAGGACAGCGCGAGGACACAGACAGGGAGGCTGCTTTACTTCATAAAGGAAATGGCGGTCAATATTAACAACATAGGAGCTAAAACGCGTAATAACCTTCATTACGTGTTAGGGAAATAAAATAAAAAAGTTTGACAAAGATGAGGCTGTTAAACGGGCAGCGGATCCGCTGTGTGTAGAAAGAGAGAGAGAGAGAGAGAGAGACGCTGAGCTGCACCGTGCAGCGATCAGCTGATCCGGAGCATAGAGAGAGAGAGAGAGAAGAGAGAGAGAGAAAGAGAGAGAAAAGAGAGAGAGAGAGAGAGAGAGAGAGAGAGAGAGAGAGAGAGAGAGAGAGAGAGAGAGAGAGGAGAGAGAGAGAGAGAGAGAGCCGCGGGGCTCCGCCTCCGCCTCCTGTCCTCACAACTCTTATTAATCCCGGTACCGGACAATTGTTATTTGTTCTTACTCGGAACCAAGTTTTGCTTCCCAACCCTGCCACTGTGCTACACGTCCCGCCCCGCCCCCGTCTAACAGTACAGAAAGCGGCAAGATGCATTTCCTTAGGAATCGACAAGCAAAACCACAACAATGGCGGACACGGGCAATTTGCGAATGAGTTCTGCCTTTTGTAAACTGAATTTATCAATAATTTGTCAATAAATAAGGGCGAAAAACGTCACTTGTCCATCGGACAAGTCAATTGAAAGATCTACTTGTCCGATATTGTAAATAACACGTCCCGGACGGTGGGACGTGTGCTTTTTCGCACACTGATTGGTTTCAAATAGGCTAAACTAATGGCGTGCTCAATTTCTTTATTTGTGTGTTATTGGTTTAATTTAATGTCCAAGGTACAAGCAAACCAGGTATTAAGTTTGCAACAGAAGATGTGTTTTTGAGCCAGGATAGCAAACAGGTGTTTTTTTTGTTGAAGGGTTCCTGGGTCCCACCGATTAGCCAATACCGAGCATCATATGATACGCTGACACCGTCAAATCCTTGTTGCTAAATAAACCTAGGCCGACTTCACAGCAACTTCGTAGACGGGCACAACTGCATTATGGCAATATCACCTGTAGTAAATGTTAATATGTCTGTATTCTAGCACTTTAAACAAGAGAAATAACCTCAGCATAGTCCTCCTTTATCACACTATACAAACTACACAGTAACACAATATAAAGTGAGTGTGATTATTTGGCAGCACCCACCTGTCCCTGAGCGTTGGTGATCAGCTGGCTGGTGATGCCCGCCATGTTGGACATGTTGCTGGTGATGATGGGGGTGGAGGTGAGGGAGCTGAGGAACTGAGGCTGAGCTCCCAGAGAGGCAGCGCTGATCTGAGAACAGGAAACACAGCAGGTTTAGTGAACTCAAAACAGACTGAACTCATAAAGCGCTTTATCCAGTCTTTACTGTGGAGGAAATTCTTAAAGGTCCCCTATTATACTGTTCTTTTTTTACATGTCTCTGAAGTGTTTGTCTCCAAACACCAAACAGATCATTGCAGCATTACCCATAATCCCCTCTGTTTCAGCCCTGTTTCCAAAGTGCTGATTCTCTGTCTGTTACTTTAGATGAAAATAAGGAGCCCCTCCCCACGCCCCTCTGAGAGATATTTGGTTACAAAGAACACAATGGTGCTCTAGGAGCCAGTCCCCAACTCCGGGGACTTCCGGCGGGGACTTCGGGTGGCAGTATACGCCGTGAAGTGGTTTGCGGCCTGCCAGTAAACCCAAAACAGAGGAAGAAGAAGTGACGTCAGCGGCTTCATTTGCCTAATCCTCCCCCAGGAACTCATTGCGGTGTGAACGTGATCTGCTTTAGTTCATCAGAACTAAAAGAGTTCTCATGAACTGAGTTCTCGTGAACTATTGTGGGAAAAGAACTTGGTGTGAACGCCCCTAGTTACCTTGGTTGGTGATTGGCTAATGGTTACACAAGCCAAAAAATCGTTATGACATCATAAAGTGGCCAAAATCTGATCAGCTCATTTTCAGACAGGTTTTTATAGAAATGGATCAGGACAAAAAGAGAGAATCTTTGTTCCTGTAACTTTCAGAGTCTCTTTCCACAGAGGGGACACATGCTGATGTAGAAGAGACATGAAGAAGAGGGGACACATGTTGATGTAGAAGAGACATGAAGAAGAGGGGACACATGCTGATGTAGAAGAGACATGAAGAAGAGGGGACACATGTTGATGAAGAAAAGACATGAAGAAGAGGGGACACATGTTGATTTAGAAGAGACATGAAGAAGAGGGGACACATGTTGATGTAGAAGAGACATGAAGAAGAGGGGACACATGTTGATGTAGAAGAGACATGAAGAAGAGGGGACACATGTTGATATAGAAGAGACATGAAGAAGAGGGGACACATGTTGATGTAGAAGAGACATGAAGAAGAGGGGACACATGTTGATATAGAAGAGACATGAAGAAGTGGATTTTGCATAATAGGTGACCTTTAAAGTTGAAAGACGACAGCACTTCCTCGCAGCCACAATCGTCCTTAATGATATAACACAGTACAGAAAGTATAACTAACAGAGGATCAGTCTTACGATGGCGGGGTTGATGGAGAGTCCTGCGTTCTGCAGCGCTGCGAGGGAGATGTTGGACTGGGAGGAGGAGGAGGTCTGAGCTGCAGACACCTGAGGGACAGGTGAGGGAGACGTCACCTGGACCTGAGGCTGGAACATCGTCTGAGCGCTGGTCTGGAGCTGGGGCTGCAGAGAGTTCAGGACCGTCGCTGCTGAGCACAACAATCAAGTTAGTCAGTCTCAATCTTTATTTATTTATTGTTAGGAAGATATCACTGGTCTCCGGCTTGAGCTTCAATCTCAGGATCCATGTATTTCTGATCCTCTCAAGAATGGAAGTAGTCATCACATACAACTAGTTCCTGAACAGTGTCCTTCACATGCTGATATACAAGGTAGGTAGTTACACAGTCACAAGATGGAGGAATACCGGTTCTTGTAGGTAATCATACATCCTGTCATGTACAAAATACTGATTTTTTTCCTCAAAATGTTCGAGTTTCTCCTCAAAAAGTTCGATTTTTTCCTCAAAATGTTCGATTTTTTCCTCAAAATGTTCGATTTTTTCTCAAAATCTCAAAATTATGACTTTCTCTCAAAATCATGACTTTTTCTCAAAATCTCAAAAATCTGACTTTTTCTCAAAATTCTGACTTTCTCTCAAAATCCTGACATTTTTTCTCAAAATCTCATAATCCAGATTTTCTTCTCAAAATCTCAACATTCTGAGTCAGTGTTATACTGTATGTCCAATGTGGGATTAATAAAGTATCTATCTATCTACAGTAGCTATCTAATACAGTACATATACACATTTTTGTCACAGATTTTCACACACGGTTGTTGTGTTACCCTGGAGGCCAGCGAAGGGCAGTTTGAGGAGGTTCCCGGCCGTGTTCGCTGTAGTGAATCCGGGGAGAGAGGCTACGTTAGAGGAGGGTAGCGTGAGGACAGCGAGACCGCCCCCCCCGATGGATCCGGCCATGCTGAGGGGGATCAGCATGGGCTGGCCCAGAGACCCCGTCTGAGCCATCATCCCCGTCAACAGGGAGGCCAGACTCTCCTGGGTCAGCACCTGGGGAGGAAGAGGAGGAAGAGGAAGAGTTGGTACCCGGGGAACTCATTCATCTGTTTTTTTACTGGTATACTGGTTTTTACAAGGGGGATTTTAGCGAGCTAATACTACATCTTTCTACATTTCAATAGTGAGTGTTGGAGCTATATGTCATCAAGTCCATAAGGACAGAGAACTGGAATCCATTGGTCGATGTGATTGCTCGTATATCACATAATTGAAGTCGTTTTAAATTGTGCCAGTTTTTAATGATTTATGATTTATTTTATTTGCATATTGACTGGTTAATCTGCCATTTCATTTGTGTTGTACAGCTGTATTCATCTGCCTGTATTATTTTGTGTTTTATCTGTTGTAACTTTGTTCATGCTGCCCTCTTGGCCAGGTTGCTCTTAAAAAAGAGATTTTAATCTCAATAGGCGCTTTCCCACCGGAGTACTTTTCCCAGGAACTAGGCCGATAGTTCTTGGGATTTTGGTTTCACACCAAAAAGATCTGGAACTAGAACCTAGTTCGCGCGAACCTTTTCACCCCCAGATAGTCCCTGCTAGAGAGTAGGTACTTTCCTGGGGAGGAAAAAGTTCGTGGGTGTGTCGGCCACACTAACAATTTCTGATTGGCTGGGCGAATTGCAAACCACGCCCCGTAAAACTCCGAAAAGTTTTGTGAAGCCGCCATTTTATTTCCTCGCATTAGCATTATTATCATTAGCATTAGCCCAGCGCACCAACAGAGAGAGACTAACTTATGGCAACACAAAATAAAACATGGGAGCGGTGGAGTGATGAGGAGTTGTCGGTGCTTCTGGCAATTTACTCGGAAGACGCTAACCAGCAGCTTCTACTGAAGCCAGTCCCCAACTCCGGGGGACTCCGGGAGGCAGTATACGCCGTGATGTTGTTTGCGGCCTGCCAGTAAACCCAAAGCAGAAGAAGAAGAAGTGACGTCAGCGGCATCATTTGCGTAATCCTCCCTCAGGGACTTATTCCGGTGTGAACGCGATCTACTACAGTTCCAGGGACTAAAGAGTTCGGGGGAACTAAGTACCGCAAAGTACTTGGTGTGAAAGCGGCTATTGAGACTTTTTACCTGGTTCAATAAAGGATCTATATATATATATTATTGAACAGTTTAACATTTCTTTGTTTTTGTTTTTGTGTATAGTATATGTTTTATTATTTAATTATATTATTTAAGTTAGTTAAAGTAGTTTTATGTTTTTATTTTAAAGGCATCTTTGGGCACTGGGTGATTAGAGCACCTGGTGTAATTGTATATATTGGAGACAGGTGGTGGTGGGAGCAGAGCACTAGTAGGTTTATCGTTTTCTACCAGGGTGATTTGAGCAGGACTAAACAAGGAAAGCCAGACTTCAGCAAAAGGAGTAAGACACCTGTTCATTGTACTTTTGTTATAGGAATAAAATGCACTGAACAAACAATCTTGTCTGTAGTGTTGGCGAGATGAAGCCTTATGAAGCTTTGAAGCTTTCCAGCCAATTGGTTCGCAAAAGGGTTCATCTCATGAGGCTTCATCATGGGCTTCATTTGAACACAAACTCCCTGTTGGTCAAAGTGTGTAAAACAGGCAGATTGGACATCTCAACAGTGTGCTCTATCTCATACCGAGTTCCCAATGAGTAAAGCCGTAGAATAACTCTAAACAACGAACATAAAATCATATTTTCATGTTAACAATATTGTATTTATTCCAGTTGAATGATTGTGATTGAAAAGCCTAAGGAGGCTGGTAAACATTGCAAAGAGGGATTTGTATTCCTTAATAATATTCGTAAGCTTCACCATGTTGTAGCCTGAGAAAGGCTAAACCATATCAAAGAATACATTTATTAACTACATTATCTCATTTAGCTGTAGCTTTTATAAACAAAAAATAAGACGTATTGACGAGTCGTTGAACCAGGGACGCAGCGGTTATGAGTCAACTGCTTTCCAGCTGAGCCACACACACTGAATCTACCTGAAAACACTGAACCCTATTTATTCCTGTATTTATTCATTTATTGATGTTTTTATTCCTACTTTTATTTATGTTTTTATTTATTTATACTTATGACATTTTCCGACCTCTATATAAGTGAGGGTCTGAGCTCTCTTAATTCCATCGTGTCATCGGGCCCGGGTACAAGAGGGGTAATATCGATCTTATTATACATCCATGGGTAATATGAGCGTTGTGGTTCAACCGATCTAAAGCACTTTCTGAAGCAGTCACGTGGTATTGAGGGGCAGAGAGGCTTCGTTTGTCATCGGTGACGTCAGAGTTCCCGTTAGCCGGTAATTACCGGACTATGACCGGTAAAATATGCTGAAGACCGGCAAATCTAAATCTCTCCGGTCAAAATAATTTCCCCTTAGCGCAATACCGCATCAGTTGCGCCACTTATGTGACAGACAAGAAGAGTCAATTCTAATGTCTAACACTTAATGTGGAGAAAGAGATGTCCTGTATGGGTTGATTGTGCGTTGATCTGTTGGTAATGCCTCGGGGTTCCGGTGGGCATGTAAACAAATGCATAATGCTGCGCTATACTTTGTGGCCTCACCCGGTTGCATAGCGACGCTTATTGTTTAGGTGTCTTTTAATAAGCAGGTAGTCATATCATTAGCTAGAACTGATCGATATGGACATAAACGCGAGTGAAGTCTAATCTGACGGGAGAGAGAGATCAGCTGCTGCTGACGAGTCGACACGCAGCTCTGCATGATCCCCTGCAGCGGTGAGCGGAACAAAACACACACTTCAGGTTAGAATATCACACTTAGCTATTTTAATTACCTCTCAAACTACCTAAACTAGTTATAGATATGTTTAGTTAGTCGGGTCACTCATTACTGGATCCGCGAGCTGCATGATACTGGCGGGCTGTCAGGAGAGGGAGAGAGCGCTCCGTTTATTATTCCCGTGTTATTGTAAGTTACTGTACACTTTTGAATAATGTAGTTAATCTACTATAATTAGTTTGTTTAATATCAAATCATATCAATTTGTTTTAAAGCTCAATAAATAACAAAGAAGACCTTTGACCGGCACTTTTCTCATTTTGTCCGGAAGATTTAAACTTTAACGGACATTTTGACCGGCAAACAAATATTCTAACGGGAACTCTGGGTGACGTCACTGGCCCAAAACGATACAAGCCTCGATACAAGCTTCACCAAAAGCTTCGGGGATTACTCGACACACGCTCCGAAGCCTCGGCGCAATACGTAACATCACTACTTGTCTGGACTTGGATAATTCCCTGCGTAAGATCCGCTATCTGGTGCCTCAGCGGCAGTTTACGTTTAAGTTCAATTTCTGTTTTACTTTTCTATGATTTTGGCCGCCACATTGAGTTTTAACAGTATTCATTAAATGTTGTTATTGCAGGGTCGTAGTCGGGAGTTTTCCTGAATAACTGGACATGTTTCTTCAGTTTGGAGACTGTCTGTTTACAGGTGTTTGGATCAAATCTGTGTGAACAACAGTGTGACAATGCGGTAATAGTGTCTTGCTTATGTTATATATAATAATATCGTTTGTGAACCCATTTTATAGAATGAAATATAGAAATGTTTGGTCCATCATGTTGTGGTTGATATCTAGAAAATGTAAAAAAAAAAAGGGTTCAGAAAATCCGTACCGAACTAGAGACAGATGAGAGGCTGGGAACATTTAGATCTTCTACAGAGTTGACCTGATTGATGATTGAGGCCTATTACGGCCCGTCCACACAGCAGCGTTTAAAAAATCTTGGAACGCTTCTGCCCATTCACTTTGAATGGGGTGACGTCACTTTGCCTCACTTTTCGCCGAACTGCATTGTGGGAAGCAGAGCGGAGATTTTCAGGATTTTCAGGATTCAAAGTTGAGCAATGTTCAACTTTTGAAGCTGAGGTGGAAGCGTCAGCCAATCAAATCCCGTTTATGCAAATCTGACAGTTCAAGCGCTAGCCAATCAAACCGCGTGTATGCTGGGAGAGACATACCGCAGGTCATTTCCTCATATTCCAAAACATGGAGGAGAAATTAGCGGTAGGGAATCACCCGGTGCTTTATGACCAGTCCCTATTTACCTACCGGGATATAAACCGGAGGAGCCAGGCATGGAGGGAGGTGGCAGAGACAGTGGTAGGTTTTCGCCTGTTTGGGGAGTTTATATCCAGTTTACTTCGGGCTTTTTTGCTTCCTATGTCGGGGGCGGGAGATTCATGTGATTGGTTGTTGGTCGCGTTGCTCGCAAAAAATCCCCAAGCTTCAGATACGCCCACCTCCAAGATTTTTTTAACGCTGCTGTGTGGACGCTCCGTTAGCGTATTCACAGAATGTACGATAGTTATACTTAAAGATGGAAATACGGAACATAATTACCACTAAAATGTTCCTCTCAAAACGGTAAAAATGTCTTATTTCAAACATTGTGCCATAAGCTACGGAAGAGGACCACATTTATTCATCTGATCTGACCAAGTGATTTCTACTTGGTTAAACTTTTTTGATTAAAGTCAGAATTCAAAGACACATGTGGCCCTTATCCTCTTCTGGAAAAAGCACAAATTCTGGTATTATTTGTGTTGTTTTGTTTATTTGTTGAGCTGGATAATAGCTGCTTTTAATTGAACTATTCATATCTTACACTGCACTGTAACTTTTATTCATGTATTTTTTGAATAATTTTTAAATGCCATTTTTTTAATGTCTTTCATTTTTGTAAAGCACTTTGAATCGCCTTGTGTTGAAAGGTGCTATATAAATGAACTTGCCTTGCCTCCTGTAGGAGCCATGTAACGTACAAAGTGATGCATTTTGTTTCAATACAAATTAGTTTTGTATTAGTTTATATTTGGGTAATGGTTTGTATTATTATTATAAGATATGTGTTTGATCGCAATGGGTTGGTTGGTTTGGGTCACATGGATATGGGCGGCACTCATTATAATCCTCTGTGTGTGTGAGGGTGACACAGGGTCGTTGTATTTTTTGTGAACCGCAAGCTTTAGGATTGCTTTTACAATGTCTATGTCTACCTAAAATAAGTTGATCATCTCATTTTTCATTATTATTCACTACAAATTTCAGCAAGTGCTTTTTGTTGCTTGTCATACAACAGCAAACAGGCCCGGCCTCAGCCTCTCCGAGACTTTGTTTGTTACCTGCTGTCGCTACACCTCCTAAGACTTCAGATATTAACGATGTGCTCTGTGTTTGATGATGGATCGTACCTGAGGGCAGCTCTGCATGGTGATGGGCATGTTGGCCTGAGGATGAGACAGAGACAGACTGACAGCAGGAGGCATCGTCTGGACGGCAGGAGCAGAAACCTCCACAGAAACCAGACCTGCAGGAGCACAGCAGGGGGGGGGGGGTTACTGACATGGCGGGGCAGGGCAGCTTTGTGTATAGAGTATATTTCATTTATGTGGCATTAAAAACACCAAGTAATGATAATAATAACTTTCAGGGGACCCAAGGTCGCTTTACAGAAAAACAGGGTATATGCAACGGAGGAGTATAGCGATATTGTAGGTGAAAAAAAAAAGAAATTAATACAGAGACGGGGAAGGGGTTTAAATCCCAGGAAAATAAATCTGAATTTCCTAATCCACTCTTTAGTGTCCCCTGGTCTCCCAGCTGTGTGCGTCACTCTTAGTGTCCCCCTGGTCTCCCAGCTGTGTGCGTCACTCTTTAGTGTCCCCCTGGTCTCCGTTGTGTTTTGAGCTTCTTGCAGCGTTTGGTATCTGCAGCTTTGAGTCAACTTGCTGAATGTTTTTAAGAAAAAATTAAGAATTCTGAGATTCTCTGAAAAACACAGGAATTTTGAGATTTTTTTGAAAAACTAAGAATTTTAAGATTTCTTGAAAGAAGTTAGAATTTTCTAATTTTTTGAAACATTTCGAGATTTTCAAAAAAACAGACATTTGGAGATTTTTTTTTGAAAAAGTTTGAGCTTATATATAATAGACTTTTTGCACTACTTTGTATTTTTGTATTTTATTATATATGTTGCATTGTTGGAGGAGCTCAGGTCAGAATCATTTCATTGCTCTTTCTACACTGTAGCTGCTGGGCATATGATAATAAAACCTTTGAATTTGAAATAATACAAAAAAAATTAAACAGTTAATAAAATAATAAGTATTTATCTGATATATGAGCAGTGTTTACCGACTCCCCCAGGGTTTTGGGGCCCCTCCTGCGTGCCGCCGGCCTCAAATTTCACCTCACTCGTCTCCTCAGAAAGAGAGGAGGGCAGAGACGCGTCCACCTCCACCTCCACCTCCAGAACCCGGATCGTCTCATTGCCCGACATCACTATCACCTGCAATGATCATAATAAGCCTTGTCTTTTACCTGCAAACCAAATCTACCTTGCACTATTTCTATTATATTCTATGTTATTTGTATTGACTTGCACTATTTTATCTGTTGTATTGTGTTGCACTGTTGGAGGAGCCTGAGACCTAAGATTTTCATTGATATATATACACAGTAGCTATGTACAAATGACAATAAAAGCCTTGAATCTTGAATCTACCTACAGGTACAAATACAATATCCTGAACCTGAACCTGATGTGAGAAATGTGCAAAAGAAGCGTGATTAAAACTGTTTCTCTTGTTCAGGTTTTTATAGATAAAACTGAGGTGTTCATTTGTAAAATAAAACAATTTGAAACTGTACAAATAAATAACCTGAACCTGATAAGGACGAAAAAACTGAGACAAAAAGAGAAAAATGTGCAAAAGTAACTTACAGCTGTCCAGGGTTTTATAGATAAAGCTGTGGTATTCATTTGTGTTTCAAAACAATTTGAAACTGTACAAATCTCACTCAATCAGCACCCGAAGGACCCGAAGCTAAAAACTAAATTCACTTTTCCTACTTCTTTATTTCTGCCAACTTAAATACATGTGTTCAGAGGTGGAAGTAGTGGAGTACAAATACTTCGTTACTGTACTTAAGTACATTTTTCTGGTATCAGTACTTTACTCCACTACTTATTTTTCTGACGACTTTTTACTTTGACTTCTTACATTTTGAACACAAATACCTGTACTTTCTACTTCTTACATGTTGAACACAAATACCTGTACTTTCTACTTCTTACATTTTGAACCCAAATACCTGTACTTTCTACTTCTTACATGTTGAACTCAAATACCTGTACTTTCTACTTCTTACATGTTGAACACAAATACCTGTACTTTCTACTTCTTACATGTTGAACACAAATACCTGTACTTTCTACTTCTCACATTTCCCAAACAGGCTGGTTCCTTTAGTTTGAATGTGTGTTTGGTGGCGTGATCATTATTATTTAGAGTCATTGCGTGCCTATTGATTTGAACACGATCCGTGTATCCATCATTTCCTGGTCTTCTCTAAAGAAGAGGGACCAATGAAAACGTTGTCATGTTGCCGTTGTTCAGCATGGAAACATTCATTAGCTAACAATGACATTATTATTCTATTAATATAAAGGGAGGTCAGGTACTCTTTAAAGCAGCTGCTAGTTATGGGTACTTTTTACTGAAGTACATTTCAAAGCCCTCTTTACTTTCACTTGAGTAAAGAAGTTTAGTCAGTACTTCTACTTTCACCAGAGTATTTTTAAACACGAGTATCTGTACTTCTACTTGAGTAAAGGATGTGTGTACTTTTGCCATCTCTGCTTGTGTTGAATCTGATTAAGACCTAACCGCTGAGTCATGATTTGCAATAAAGAAGGAAATGACAGCGTTGTTGGCGGCAGGTGAAGAGAGACGGTGCAGGAAGAGAGAGGAGGATGCATACCTGGAGGTGTTTGGCAGGGAATGTCAAAGTGCAGGAGGATTTAAATGGCTGAATAAAGACGTCTGCAGTCAGACAGTGAATGGCTAAGGAGAACAGGAAGCCGAGCACATGTTAGGACACAAAACACAACATCACAAATGAGAAGAGCATGAGTACATATAAAACAATGATAGCCAACAAGCAGCTTAAGCAATGCAGTCTGTGTGAAGAGCATTGCTTAGGTTTGCTAATAATGTCATTATTAAGCATGGCAGGTTTAAGACACTGACGAGCATTAAACGGCAGGTATTATAGAGCGGTGCAGGGATGACACATTTTTGTAGGCCGACCCGGAAGTAAGCTGCTGGTTCCCTCGACAAAAAAGCAATGGGATTTCTCCATAGGATTTAGGAAAATAGCTTGAAATAAGGTCTGTGGAAACTAACCTGTTTGATAAATGCACGTTTTGTTCAGCCGGATAATCTCCACATGTCTACGCTACTTTTATAATTTTTAAATCATAAATCTAATCGCCAGATGCAAAATGCTAACGTTATGCTATAAAGGAACTACAGCCGAGTACAGCAGCACGACTTCAACGTCACGCCAACTTAAGATCCATATTCAAACATACAGATTCTAAATGGTACGAGTTGAAGCGTTAGTTTGAACAGTTTGCAGGAGGCAGGGACTTGCTTTCAAGCAGAACAGGGCAAACAAACTTAGAGGGAGTGTTTACGTGTTCCGCGTAATGACGTACAACGGCCTCGACAACTTCTGTAGTCCTATTCAGCCACTTGGTAACAACCATCGTTTTTCAGACACGTGAACTCTTCAGAAATCACCAGTGGGGTCACTGCTGATGGATTTAATGTCGTAGAACAAAACGTGATCCGTCTCTTCAATGTGTCTCAACCACAGACCTTATTTCCAGATATTTTCCTAAATCCTATGGAAAAATCCCATTGGCTCTGAGACGAGGGAACCAGTAGTGGTAAAATGCTCACTTCCGGGTTTTAGGACTCGTCACTGCACCACTCTATGAGGTGACGAAACAGAAAAGCAAGACCTGCAGAACGTGCCGATATATAAATGATGGCGCATCCTCATATGGATGTTAATCAGTTCATAATGGTAATGTTATGTGGGCACATGGAGGGTGACAGCAGCACACAACATACGTCTTCAGAGTGTTTTCAGGGCGCAGAGAGGTTACAGTAGAGAGAGAAGATGGTGCGTTAACACACAGGTGAGTGTTACCTGCTCATTGACAGTGAGGGGGGCATCTTTGGCGGGGGGGTCCTGGGAGTTCATGGCTCTCTGCACCTCCCAGTCACTGTCTTCCTGACATCCTGCATACAAGGAGCAAAGAACGAATATGCTTTATTTGTCAAATGCACATTAAAGTTATTTTGTCAAAGAAAATCTGAAGTCTCCTCCAACAATGCAACATACATAAGATCTGCCCTAAACACAGACTCAAAGGGGCGGTATTCTGCTGATGTTCAGGTGTATATCAGTATGTAGTGTCTCTACTTTAAAGAGTCCTCTCCCTCTGATGTTCAGGTGTATATCAGTATGTAGTGTCTCTACTTTAAAGAGTCCTCTCCTGCTGATGTTCAGGTGTATATCAGTATGTAGTGTCTCTACTTTAAAGAGTCCTCTCCTGCTGATGTTCAGGTGTATATCAGTATGCAGTGTCTCTACTTTAAAGAGTCCTCTCCTGCTGATGTTCAGGTGTATATCAGTATGTAGTATCTCTACTTTAAAGAGTCCTCTCCTGCTGATGTTCAGGTGTATATCAGTATGTTGTGTCTCTACTTTAAAGAGTCCTCTCCCTCTGATGTTCATGTGTATATCAGTATGTAGTGTCTCTACTTTAAAGAGTCCTCTCCCTCTGATGTTCAGGTGTATATCAGTATGTAGTGTCTCTACTTTAAAGAGTCCTCTCCTGCTGATGTTCAGGTGTATATCAGTATGTAGAGTCTCTACTTTAAAGAGTCCTCTCCTGCTGATGTTCAGGTGTATATCAGTATGTAGTGTCTCTACTTTAAAGAGTCCTCTCCTGCTGATGTTCAGGTGTATATCAGTATGTAGTGTCTCTACTTTAAAGAGTCCTCTCCTGCTGATGTTCAGGTGTATATCAGTATGTAGTGTCTCTACTTTAAAGAGTCCTCTCCTGCTGATGTTCAGGTGTATATCAGTATGTAGTGTCTCTACTGGGACATGTCTCCATGCTTTAATGTTCAAAAAGCTCTTTATGTTTCTCATACTGCCTGTGCTGCAGCACCTCTTTTCACCCTCCGTCTGAAACCAGAGCCTCGTCTGCTCTGATTGGTTAGCTGGCCGGCTCTGTTGTGATTGGTCAACCTCTTAGAGATGTCCCGCCCCTTA